GGAAGGAAGGAAGGAAGGAAGGAAGGAAGGAAGGAAGGAAGGAAGGAAGGAAAGGAAGGAAGTGCAGAGTCATAGACCCCACTCCAGGCTTCCTAAATCACAACCTGAGATTTAACAGTTCCCCAGGTGATGTGCATGCACATCAAAAGTTTGAAAAGCACTAAGATTTCCCGAGGAAAAAGACTTGAAAGCCAATGATGAATATGAGGGAACAGGTAAGGAGAAGCTTCAGGTGATCCCACAAGGGCATAGGGGCAGTTGGGGAGAAAGAGGCCTGAGGGTTTCTCCTGCAGCACCCTGGACTGAAGGGTGGAAGGAACAGGCTGGCTGGCTCTGGCAGGGAGCCCTGAACACAGGGATAAGGAGAACAGCACAGGTGGGCCTGAGGTCTTCAGATAAAAAGACTGCTACCGCTACCATTCCCTCACTCTCCCTCATGAACCCCAATTTCCCATTCCAGGACTTCTCCAGACTTTTAGTCTCAATAACCTGGCTAGTCGGACCCCGCCTAGTTCGGTTTGATTCGGCCAGGATCGGTTGCTAAGGCCTAGAGCTTCCCGGTTGCGGGGAGGGGGAAATGATGTCACGTCCAAAAGGCGGGCCAACCAGCCCTCTCCCTCCTCCGGATTGGCTGTCAGGAATTTGATTAGATTCGCAGCCTCGCGGGCTCCAGCGTTAGCTGTCATTGTCCCCAGATGCCCCTGGCCCTCGGCCGTCCTCTCCGCCCAGAGCAAGACTGAGGACTGTACTCAGGAAGCACTTAGCTTCGGAAGGAGAGGGGATTCGAATGGTCCGGCTATTGCCACCAGGCTAGGCGTTTTGGCCGCCCAGGTACTTTTTGACTCGATCGGTGTCCGTAGTTGGGGCGGCTACCGAACCGCAGGGATTTGTGGAATTTATAGTTCTGGATTAGGTCTGGATTAGTTTGTGGGTGCACTGGAGGAGGCTCGAGCCCGACAGAGATTTTTGGAGGAAAAAAAAAAAAAAAGACTTTGAGGACTGGGGGCCTGGGTCCCAGAAGGACGGGAGAGGACGAAAAGGGAATCTAAATAAGAAGCCTGCCATTAGCATTGTTTTGGTTTTCTTTTCAGGTGTTGACCTGAGACTGATATCTCATTCGACTAAAACTCTTCACCCACGGTGGAAGGGACCAGGCAGCCAAATGGAGACGCTACCAGTCAATCTAGTGGGAGAGAAGGACACCTCTCAACCACAACAACAATGGGAAAAGAACCCCCAGGAGAACCTTGATTCAACTACCCAGATTAGGCAGCAGCCCCAAGACCCTCCTACTGAAATCCTTGAGCTGAGAGTGAGCCCAAATCTAGCCAGCCAAATTCTAGAGAAACCTCAAGGGACTGAAAAACTGGCCTCTGGACTTCAAGGAGACTCTGCTAAATCTCATGGATCAACCAGTGAGATGCCAGAGCCCCTTCAAGCTTCTGATCTCTGGTACTGTCCCGATGGGAGCTTTGTTAAGAAGATCATAATCCGTGGCCATGGCTTGGACAAACCCAAGCTAGGTTCCTGCTGCCGGGTACTGGCTTTTGGGTTTCCTTTTGGGTCAGGCCTGCCAGAGGGCTGGACAGAGATAACTATGGGGTTAGGCCCGTGGAGGGAGGGGACTTGGGGGGAGCTCATAGAGAAATGCTTGGAGTCCATGTGTCAAGGTGAGGAGGCAGAGCTTCAGCTCTCTGAGCACTCTGAATCTCCTTTCAGGCTCACACTGGCCTCCTTCACTCAGGGCAGGGACTCCTGGGAGCTGGAGGCTAGTGAGAAGGAAGCCCTGGCCAGGGAAGAACGTGCAAGGGGCACAGAATTATTTCGAGCTGGGAACCCCGAAGGGGCTGCCAGATGCTATGGACGGGCTCTTCGGCTGCTGCTGACTTTACCCCCACCTGGCCCTCCAGAACGAACTGTTCTTCATGCCAACCTGGCTGCCTGTCAGTTGTTGCTAGGGCAGCCCCAGTTGGCTGCCCAGAGCTGTGACCGAGTGCTGGAGCGGGAGCCTGACCATTTAAAGGCCTTGTACCGAAGGGGGGTTGCCCAGGCTGCCCTTGGGAACCTTGAAAAAGCAACTGCTGACCTCAGGAAGGTGCTGGCGGTAGACCCAAAAAACCGGGCAGCCCAGGAGGAGCTGGGAAAGGTGATCATTCAGCAGAAGAAACAAGATGCAGGCCTGGCTCAGGGTCTGCGCAAGATGTTTGGCTGATTAAAAGTTAAATTTTAAAAGAGACAGGAACCTGTGAATTGTGGTTTATCCTGTGAGACTTTGAGGAGACCCAGAGGGAGGCTTTCAGCCCATGTCCCACTCCCAGCTTTTGCCTTCCTAGGGAAATAGCGGTGGTCTCAGTGCGCCTCTTTCCCTCCTTTACCAATAAAAAGCCATATGATCACGTGTGCTACATTTTGGGGGGCTCATCCATACCCGAGGATGAATGCAAGATACATGAACTACTAAATTTAGGACTGACTGGGGAGACGGAGGGCCTTTAAACCCCAGGAACTACATCTCCCAGGCTCGCGCTCGTTGGCTCCTGTTCGGCGCATGCGCAAACCGTACGGCCCCGTTGAGTGGGAGTGCTATCCTCCTGCCGCGCTCCCATTGGCCCGGCCTGTCCAACCGCCTCATGTACTCAGCACCCAGGTCTCTTACTGGTCGGTAGACCTTCCGGGACGTGCCCCCCTTTTTTTTTAAGAGTCAACTGATTAGTCGATGATGGGGAGAGGCGGGCTTTGGGAACGGTCTCATGGTTGGGGGGCGGGAAGGAAAGATGGCGGAACTGATGCTTCTCAGCGAGATTGCGGACCCAACACGTTTTTTCACGGACAACTTGCTGAGCCCGGAGGACTGGGGTCTGCGGAGTGAGGCCTTGGGGAGGGAGGAGGGCTGTGGCATGCTGTGCTCCTGAGGCACGCAGGGAGGAAGCGGAGGTCTACAGAAGAAGGCTGGGCAAATACGGAATCTATCACCCGAAGGAGGGCGGAGCAGGGGGGCTCGTCGTGCTTTCGGGGGATGCGGGAGTTGGGAAAGACCTCCGCTCCCTACGGAAACGTCGCGTTGTTCCGGGGTGGGGGAAGGAGGGGCTGAAATTCTTTGGCTGTTTCACGTTTCAAGTGGGCGGGCGGTAGGTCTGGCTGAGCCGAGCCAATGAGGGATGGGCCCAGGGCTGTGTGTGGATCTGTAGGCTGGGCCACCGGACGACCTCCGCTGAAGCTCTGCATCTCTTGCAGACAGCACTTTGTACACCGGCCTGGATGATGTGGCGGAGGAGCAGACGCAGCTCTTCCGCTGCCCAGAGCAGGATGTCCCGGTATTGCGCCCCCAGCCTTGTCTCTAACCTTTGGCGGGTGGGAGTTGCCCTGGAACCAGGACTCAGCCCCAGACCAGAGCTCATGGAGCTGTTCAATCTTCTGCACATTCTTGCCGTCTAATGTCCTCCTTTATTCAGTTTGGCAGCAGCTCCCTGGACGTGGGGATGGATGTCAGCCCCCCTGAACCACCTTGGGACCCCCTGCCTATCTTCCCAGGTAAGATACCCTTTCTGAGGGGCGCCTGGGTGGCTCAGTTGGTTGAATGTCTGCCTTCGGCTCGGGTCATGATCTCAGGGTCCTGGGATGGAGCCTGCATCAGGCTCCCTGCTCAGCGGGGAGTCAGCTTCTCCCTCTGCCCCGCCCCCCATTCTCTCTC